ATGGCCAAGAGTGGGATGGCGGGGTCATAAGGTAGGCCTCTTTTTAGTTTTTTGAGGAACCTCCATTCTGATTTCCATAGTGGAAATTCCCACAACAGGATATACGGCTCATTTTTCCTGCGTGCTCACCAGTGTTTGTGTTCTTGATCATGGCCACTGTGACTGAGAGATGAAATCTCAGTGTTGTTTGGACTTGCATTCGGTTTATGACTAGGGACGTGAACACTTCTTCATGGATTTATTAGCCATTTGTATTTCTTTTTCTGAGAACTGTCTGTTCAATTTATTTGTCCATATTAATTGGCAGATATTAATGGGCTATTGTCAGTTCTTTTGCTGTTAGGTTTTTTTGAGCTTTTAGTGTTTTCTAGATATTAATCCCTTACCTGTTGAATAGCTGGAGAAGATTTTCTCCCATTCTGTGGAAAAAAAGACCAAAATCTCTTGATTTTGGTCTTTGTTCCCTTTGATGTGCAAAAGCTTTTTAATCCCATGCAGTCCCATTTGTCAATGCTTGCTCTTACTTCCTAGGCAATTGGAGTTTTATTCAGAAAGTAATTTCTTCAAGCACACCAGATATTTTAAAAATACAGAAGACCAAAAAGTAAAGTGCACCCTGGTAATCCTGCAACTTAGACTCCCACAGTGGTGATTTCAGTTCATGCCCTCAGAGCTCACTCCTGAAAACTGTTTGGTCTTTCACATTTCACCACAGGGAATCTTAAACCTGGACCTGGAAAGGCCAGCATGGCCCCTGCACAGGTGGTCACTGGCTCCATCCCTCACTCACTCGGTGCACACCTTGTTGGTCTGAGGTCTGAGCAGGCAGAGCCTCCCACAGCTTCATCTGTAAGTGCCTCCTCGTGTCTTCCTCTGAGACGGGAACTCAGTTTCATTATCTCACCTAATACATACTGCAAAGCAAGCCCATATCTCATCAAGTGCTTGGATTCCCCATCGGAATCAGGTTCCAGATGGTCCTCGCTGCTGTGGGCAGATGTCTGGTACCTACACGTTTTGCTTCCCTCTCCTTCTCTTCCTGCAGAATTGTTTGGGGGCACTTTCATCCCCTGTCCATCTGGGTTTTGCCATTGGCCTCTGGGGTGTCTGATCCCTGGTAGCCCCTGTTATCCCCTCAGACTAGTGTGGCCTCTAGAGCTCTCTCCAGTTCTGGTTCTGTTTGGCCAAGTGATGTGTGCCTGTCTGCGGAGTGCAGGTACTGATGTCTCTGTGACATTAAGAACCCTCAACAGGGCAGGTGTTCAGGGGTTGATAAGACAGGTGTTCAGTGACTTTGCTTTAACCTTGAAGGTGGCAGTTCACACAGCCAGCACTCAGGTCAGGCCCCCAGCAGTGCTGTTGGTCTGGGGCTCCAGGCAGAGCAGCCATGGCCTCTGCCGTTGCTCAGCTGTCTGAGTGGCTGGAAAGAAGGAGGAGACCATGGACGCCTTCCTCAGTGGTTTGCTGTCATGGAGTTGACCTTGCCTTGAGCTGGGTGCTTCCATTTCTTCTTGTGGTTGGCTTTCTTCTCAGTTCCTAGGGTCCCTGTGCTGGTAGAAATGTAAGCCATAGGGCTCAGAAGACAATGGTAAAGTGAAACTTTGTCTTGGAAGACTGTCTTACCCACAAGTGTTTCCTGAGCACTGGAATGAGGTTAGCATTTGCTCCCGATGGAGGAGGCCTGGGTCCTTTGTAGGACTGGGCTAAGAACTAGACTTGGACAGATCCTCCCTAGAGCTGTGCTGGTCGAGGTGTTGCCAAGCCTGTGCAGGTCTGCACTGGGGGAAGATGGCACTGACCTTCCACAGTGGTCAGATGGCATAGAGATGCTACCCAGGATCTCTGGGAATTGACCTCGGATGTTCATAGGTGAAGACAGAAAACTCAGACCTGGGTGGTAGATAGCAAACAGGGAACATGAACCCTTCATGGCCTCTGATTTGGGATCCAGTGTGTAGGTGGTGTCGGGTTGTGACCGATGCACTTGCAATATCTTCACACACTTCCTGTGAGGGAGCAGTTAGTAGAAGACAGAGCCCTTTCTCATGGGAAATGACACTATGAACCATGATTCAAATGGAGAGCACTGAGGCTTCTCCCTGCTCTGTGCCCACGCACCACAGCACTGTGGAAGATATGACTTGGCCATTACCACAGGAGGGGGGTCTGTCATTCCTCCTTCCCACCTTCCACCCCAGTGAGGAGTCCCAGTGCAAAGCCAAGTGGCTTCAGTTACTAGAGGCAGAGGTTGTACTAATTTATGACCCAAGGTACTCGGGACTCACAGAATTGAAGGAAAGCCTTGTGAAAATGTCCTTGCAAGAATTCAGGAAAAATGTAATTTGCTCAAAGCCACCCAGGTGTATAACTGAGATAGATTGAGAGGGCCACAGGGGCTCAGTGCAAGTTGGGCAGGAGAGGGCTCCACTCATAGCTGTGGCCTCTGGGGAGGGAAGGTCCTCAGGATCTCCAACTTTAGCCACCGGCATGGCCCAAGGCTGCTCACCTCCAGACCTGCATCTTTGTTTTACTCTGTATTATGTCTTAGGACACTTGTCCATCATGTAAGTATACCAGGCTACGTCATTCCCCATGCCACCCTGTCCCCCTTCTCTGCAGTCATGAGATTGTACTTCATAGGTGGCTATTCTGAACAGGCACAGAGAACAGTGACGGACACATGCTGCCTGTGACAGTAACTACTGAGCATGGCCGTCATGTCCCAGCATGGCCAGGCTCTGTTGGGAAGTGGCCTGGGGCCCCATGGAGTCCTTAGTAAGACACAGAGGGCTGGATATTTCCAGAACTCTTACTGCTAGTGGAACAAGGGTGATTTTTCCTTATGTCACTTACTAATCTATGCTGTCTGTTGCTTTTGGTTTTGCATGTGTTTAAGTGTTGTATAAGGCACACACGGCAACACGGGAAGCCATTTCTGGGGGGAGTCATTTTGGCAAAGATTAAAAAAGCTCAGACTCCTGTTGTGACCAGTGGGCATTTGCAGAAAGCACGAAGCTAATGCATCATGAACCCCAAGTGCTCACACCCTTTGACCTGTGAACTTTTGCTAAGGAAGGGCAGAGATGCAGGTTTAAACATGGGGGTTTCTTGTCACTCTAATTTATAACAGCATCAGACTCAAAACAACCCAAAGTCCAAGAATAGAGCAATAATTGTTTGTGTGATAAAATGTGATGCTGTACCTTAAATCATTTTGAACAATATATTAAAATACTCAAAATAGGATCTTTCTTTTAAAAAAGGAAACCCAGGATACTAGATCATATATTTTGTTTTGTGCAAATATGTCCCTTTTTAAGTAAAATGCTTTCATGTCTGTGCCCAGTTGTCTCTGGACAATTGTGGACAAGTCTCTGGATGGTGGTGTGTGATAGGTGATTTGATTTTGTGTGGAGATACTTCAAATGGCCACTACCTGTCTTCTGGGTTGCACTGAGTGTGACTTTTCAAAAGATGGAACCGAGTTGACCAGCTCTGCCTGGGTCTTCAGATGCAAACCCCAGGTCTAGGCCAGGCTGTCAGAGGGCTCTCCTGTGGGCAGCAGACCCCAAAGGCAGAGGTGGACAGAGGTTGATCCCCTCTGCCCTTACAGCCTGGACCTTCTGTCCAGAAGATGCAAGTAGAAAATTTCAACCAGAGCAAGTCTTAATTGTCTAGATTACAGTTCTTGTTTTGTCAACTGTTCTTACTGTAAGCTGCACATACACCGTGTGGTGCATCGTAGGTGACCCGAGAGCAAACTGTTTCCACAGAATTATCCTTGTAGAATATTCGGCACAGAGTTTAGACTCCTAACTTTGAAAACACAGTGGCCTTCACCAGGGTGAGAGGCACCGAGCTGCTCCCTTCCTCCTTCTGCCTCTCCTTCTTCTGTCTTTCTCTCTCTCTCTCTGTCTCCGTCCCTTCTTGTCTCTCTCTCTCTCTCTCTCTCTCTCTCTCTCTCTCTCTCTCTCTATATATATATATATATATATATGACTCTTTTTCTTTTTTAAATTTCTTGGGAGTTAGGTGAATTTTGTTTATTACTTCTTCTATTTATAGCAAAGCACAGTCTTTCTGTGACTGTCTTAGCTAAGATGACAACCATGAAGATGGTACCCTGGGCCTTCAGGATCAAGGTGTTGGCAGGGGAGCCTCCACTCCTTGGTGCCCCCACACCAGTGGGGTCGGGAACTGCTATAGGTAGAGGGGTCCTGGGCACTGTTCTGCTTCTGTGCTGTGCCTCTGTGGCCAGCAGCCCCCAAACTGCCTCCCCTCAAGCAGTGGGGAGTCTGCTGAGCTCCCACAGAATACCTTCCCCAGGAGACTGCCCCCCTTCTAGACAAGCCCTCCACTCAACTGCCAGGAACTGAGCATGGGAGGCTGACACCCTCTCACAGGAAACGGCCCTGATGGCCGTCAGGGATGCCTAGCACAGACAGTCAGGAGGATGTCCCCACTGCCGTGACATTGCTCTGTCACAGTGGGAGCTGTGCTGACATTCCAGGGGAGGTGTTCCCATGGCTCTAGTGTGGAGGAGGGTGGTCTTGCCCAGAGCCCTGCTACCAAGAGGCAGCTCCCCTGCCTGGCCTGCAGGCTATCTGTTCAGACCACCTCCGTCACCGTTGGTAGCAGTGTCGCTCGGTATTTCAATACTCAGGCCGAGGCCACTCAGAGAAAAATGTCAGGGGCTCCGCCCTCTACATCCTTGATTTGCCAGGCTCAGACCTCTTGAATTTAAGAAGATTTTTGGTTAGCCTGGAACCTGTCTGTTAGGAAGGCTAAATTATCTACAGAAACCTGTTCCGAAGGAAGGAAAGCTTTTTAATCTTACTCATGAACTTCTGCACAGTTGTGACCCATGTGGTGACAGATAGCCAAGGCCTTACGGAGTGATGGGAGCTGCAGATGAGGGGGTGAATGTGGCCTGAGGCACAGCACCGGGTGCTAGTCTCTGAGTATCAGCCTGCACTTACCGTTCCTCTGTTTCTTTCCAGCCCATCTCTGCCTGCCCTCGACTGGCAGCTGCCATCCCACTCGGGTCCCTATGAGCTGCGGATCGAGGTGCAGCCCAAGTCCCACCACAGGGCTCACTATGAGACGGAGGGCAGCCGGGGGGCCGTGAAGGCATCAGCTGGAGGACACCCCATCGTGCAGGTATGGGGTCTGCTGTGACCCACCAGCTCGGCTCATGCATTGAGTTCTATTTTGTCAGAAACACAGCTGTGAGGCAACACTAACAGGGCTTATCTCGCTGTTAAAAAAAAAAAAGGGCCAGGTGTGGTGCACATCTGTAATCCCAGATAAATGGGAGGCATATGCAGGAGGATTGTGTTTAGAGGCCAGCTGCAGACAAAAGCGCTAAGACCCTGTCTGAAAAATAGCTAGAGCTAAAAGGGCTGGGGGCATGACTCCAGCCAGTTAGCTAAATATTATACACATACTGAAGGCCCAGTTTTCTCCTGACCACAGATGGGTTGCATCCCGATAAATAGAAAATATTGAGAGTCAAGGTGCATTTACTCACGTAACCTGCAGGGCATCCCAGCCAGCACAGCTCATTCAGAGCGCGGCTGGTTCCCTGCTGAAGGAGCACAAATTCAAAATTCAATGTACAGCTCTGCTGACAGATGGTGAACAACGCACTTGTGAGTCAAGTGCCGTCCACGCGCGTGCTCTGGGTCTGTGAAGACGCCATGCAGCATCTCTTCTCTCACCTGTAAATATTTAAAGACTGGCCCAAGCATACCTGCTTGCACACATGACCTGCTGCCTGGATAGCGCCACAGCTCTGCTCAGAAGCGCTCCACCCTGGAGCGGTTCTGTACCCCCTCCTTCGAAACCCACTTGGCTTGGGTGGCACATCTCAGGCCTGCTGGGAGGCGTTGGGCCAGGGTGGTTTTAGAAGGAACAGGTGACGAGGGGCTCCCAGGTAGAGCACAGTGGTCCCTTATAGCCAGGTCCCTCCCATGGTGGCTCTGGGAAAGGAACCCATCTATTCACTTGCTGTAGAGGTAGAAAGTCCAGCAATGGCTGGGAAGACGTGCTAGGAACCATGAGGGGCAGGTGTCTGCTGGCTCAACCGGTCCCTTCTCCACACAGGTCATGGATGTGAAATCCCATGGGCTGTGTGAAACTGTCATTGCAACTCTATGTCCTGCCTGTCACCTCATGAGGTTTAGACAGCCACAGAGGGGCACATTTGTTCTCTGGCCAGGGCTCTAGCTGCGAGGTGCTGTCGAGAGCCTTTTTCCCCAGTACCCCAACATCACAAAACTGGATGCCCAACCATGTTATTTAGAGACTGATGCAAGCCGGAAGGGGCATACAGCAGGACACCCAGTATTTTTATTTTATTCCATTTAGGTAAATAAAAAGCTTGCGAGGGCAGGAGGCCACGGAGACAAATGGCTGTGTGCCAACGCAGCAATCAGCCACATGGAATTAGCCAGGCAAGGTGTGGAAGGGAAGCACTTAAGCGGCGCTGTGGATGATATTAAGGTGGTATTTGTGGCCTGTGTGCTTGACACCAATTAATACCTACTTTGTTAGCTGCTTGATGTGAGAAAATGCAGAGTCACAGCAGCCGCTTTGACATTTTAAGTTTCCACCTTCCCAGGTGGAAAAGGTCAGGTAATGCCTGCCTTCAGTTGCACTGAATAACTCCAGGTATTTACCTCCCTTTCCTGCTACGGTCTTCACTGAATGAAAGTGCATTACTGCTCAACGGAAAAGATATTAAGAAGGAGAGAAAATGAGTGTTAAAGAAGGAGGCATGAAAATAAGCCATGGATAAATAATGCCTGTGCACTCCAGCACTGTATATTACATCGGCAAGGGGCGCTGGCTGCTGAGCTGGCCGCGGAGCTGGGGGGTGTCAATGCTGCACCTTTATTGGAAAGGCGACATGTTGGACCAGAGTTGGTGCCTTCTAGTGTTTAGTTAGGAGGTGGTCATGCAAATCACAGCTGCTTTTTTGAGGGAAAAGACGTGCGGTGAGTGTGTTTTAACAGTTTTGTGTCCAATACCCACTAAAAGCTGCCAGTGCCTATGTGTCAAGGGCACACACTGCCCCACAGTGCTGCTGCCCCCAAGCCTGGTGAGCCTGGCTCCACTGCTGCTGTCCAGGTGGTCTTGGCCACAGAGTGACCTTCACTTGTCAGTGCAGACAATATCTCAAAGAGACTGAGATACTTTGAAGGAATTATGAAACCTGAAACAGTCATTTAAAATGTTTTTAAAACGTATCCTCAAAAATTATTTCAGGGCTGGGTTTGGTGGCACACACCTGTAATCCCAGCTACATGGAGGTGGTAGGTAAGAGAATTGTGGTTTGAGGCTGATGCGGGGCTAAAAACTCGAGACACTATCTAAAAAATAAACTGAAGCAAAAAGGACTGGAGGCGTAGTTCAAACCCTAGGACCGCAAAAAAAAAAAAAGATTCAATTTAAAATGGACAGGCTGGCCTTGTTTCAGCAGAACATCCATCACCCCTCCAACTGAAAGGAAAAAGAAAATGATCCCCCAGCAGAAAATGCCAGGGTCCCTGGGCATTTCACCTCATCAGAAATGAGTAATCGGAGGGCTTTTCTGACGTGTCTACAACTCACCTTTGTGCCAGCGTGAGGTGAGCAGCGAAAAAGAGGGTCTTGGGGTTTGTTTTCTTTTTCGGTTGGTGGACCACAAATTGTATAAAAATAGAATTTGCACATAATTATAAAACGTACGAGAATAGAAAACTCTCAGTTGCCATGAAGGCGCAGTAACCACAAAGTTCCACCCTGTGCTGCTGAGTTATTTCCGCACATCCTTCCTACCAGCGGCCCTGCTGCCCAGCCCTCTTCTGACTGGGCTGGGGGTTGGGCCTGTCGCACCGGGGCCTGGGCAAGGCCACAGACCAGTCCACCCGTCATCTCGTGGCCGCTGTTGCAGCCCTAGCCGTTCAGATCTGCTGTCTCCCACGGCAAGTTGGCACCTTTGCACCTTGAGACGCTGCCGGTCTCTCGGCACAGCCTGCTCATGTTTTCCTGTGTGTTTCAAGAAGTTTGTCCATAAAACTAAGGCCAGCCATCCACCAAATGGAAAACCCTTAGCCAGAGGAGAGGAGGAGGAAGGACACAGCCGCCAGGGGGTAGGACAAGGCTGCCTGCAGTGGCCTCTCCCCTGTGTCTGCCAAGGGCGGCCAGGCTGACTGACCACAAGGCTCACCTCTGTCCAGGTGGCATTTCAGATAAGGAAAGAGCACTGACAACTGGCTGGCCCCATTCTCAGGAACGTGGAGGCCCTGCAGCCCCAGCAGGGACGTGGTCTGTGAAGACTGGCGGCTGTGGGGGTGGCATCTCTCACCTCTGGTGACCACTGTCCCCCACCAGCCACCCAAGGCAGGGCTGGAAGTCCTCCTCCAGGTGTGCAGTGGCCTTGCTTTCTGGCAAGGAACTGGGGGTTTCCCTGGACTTTGAAGCCTACCTTTTCCTCAGAGGTACAAATGTCTGGGACAGTCGTGACCTGAGGGAGCAGTGCAGGGCCCTGTGGCCGCCACGTCACAGGCTCTTCATTGAGTATCAACCCCTCTCCTCCCTCAGTCTGGTCTTTGCGACTCTTGGTCACTGCTGAGGGACATGTCCAGCTGAACCTCTCAGATGCCTGCCTCGGTGCCCACAGCATGGCACCGAGGACTTTGATCTCACCTCCCACCTAGGGTCACAGAATTAGCTCTGTTTACCAATCACCAAAATGACTGGCCCTGATAGCATCTGCCATCACACCGGAGGCCGCGCTGTGTGAATAATGGATAGCTCACTGAAACCTGAACAGGCTCGGTCAAGTCCTGACAGCACTGTAGGTTTGCAGTTAGGCTTGGGACTCATCAGTTAGGACTGTGACCAGCACGGCCCCCGCCTGGCTGATAAAGCGTTTGAACCAAGCAGACATGGGCTGGGGCCAGGCCTGGAACTTGGCGAGAGACGCACACTTGGAGGGCCAAGGTAGTGCGTGGGGTGTGAGGGTGGGGGACAGGACCTGAGGGGAGTAGGACAGGGTAAGGGAGGCCAGCAGGAGGGGCCTTGGTGGACTTGGAGTCCCATTAGGTCACTTGGCTTTAGGCCAGCACTGCCTGGTAGACTTTTCTATCCTCCAAGGACTTTGACAGCTGAAGATGTCCACCAGATGAGTCACTTCTCAGCTTGCTAAAATCTGCTTTCCAGTTGGGCTAGTATAATATTCATTTTGATAGTGTCTTTCCCCAAGTCCCAGAGGTTTACAGTATTAAAAGCATGAGAAATGGGGTCCTGAGGCAGGTCTGAAACCATGGACAAACAACACCCTCTTGTTTTGTGTAGAGGCCTCCACTCTCTGTTGTGCCCAAGCCGTCCCCTCCCCTCCAAGCACACTGCCAGACAGGGCTGTCTAACAGAGGGCCCCTTGCTCCAGAGCCATGAGGAGGCTTCATGGGGTGAATCGGTGTCAGATCAGAGCTTTGCAGGCCCAGTGTGGAGCCTGACGCTGGAGAGCTACAGCGTGGTCGCACTCCGCCTGGTCTGGGGCCCATGAGCTGAAAGGACAATGCACACAGTAGAGGTTAAACCGAAGCTCTGATCCCAAACCAGATGCGGCTGCACTGGCCCCGAGCTGCCCAATGCTGGCCGACCTGCCCTAGGTGTGGATGAATTTTTTATGGGTTGGCCTGGGCACCTGGACAGTGGCCTCTCCCCTTTCAGGATATTTCAGGGCAGACAGTCTTCCATCCCTGGCCACCATGTGCACAAAGCAGCTTCTCCTGGCCTGGCAGACGCCACCAGCCTCTCTCCCTACATGTGAGCTAGCTCCATGTTCTGTTGCTCCCACAGCTGGAAGAACTCAGAGAAGCATTTAGAGAGATGCCACGGCCACTCAAGGTCGGTGCATTTTTAGGACACTCAAGAACTCATCTTGCGTGATCCTTCCCAGGGTGAAGCCAGAACACTTTTTTTTTTCAGTACTGGGTTTTTGAACTCAGGGCCTCATGCTTGCTAGGCAGGTGCTGTAACCACTTGAGCCACACACCCTACCTAGCCCTTTTGCTTTAGTTGTTTTTAGATAGGGTGTCACACTTTTTCTGGGCTGGCTTCAGCTCCTCCTACCTCCCCCTACCAAGTAGCTGGGATTATAGGTATACACC